ATATCTTTCAAAGAGCAAACAACACCAGGTTAGACCATTCGGGCTGCTTGTAAGCCTGCTGTTTGGTACGGCTGTCATGCTGTGGCTTTAGTAGCAATATCCTTCTGCTGGTTTGGGCTGGCTGATGAATGATAACAAGTTTCTCTGGCAGTTGTATAGCTTTTAATACTTCAGTTATTTGTGAATGATCTAATATTTCCACTAGAAGTTACAAACCATTGCAGCTTCCATGACTGACTAGTAGCATAGCATACTCCAAATGCATATTGAGGATCAGCATAAATATTTAGCCTTTTATTTAGCCAGCTGATAGACCTCTTTTGCTAATGCAATTAATTCATCGGCTTGTACACTCAGCTTTAGAATGAGTGGTGAAGCTTCCGCTGCTTCATTCACAGTAGTTACTGAATAACCTGTAACCCAGTTGCTCCTCATATAATATGAGGACCTGCCAACAAATAATTCCAGGTTGGGATTTAGAAATGTCATGTCTGTTAAATATTCTCAAATCTTTTTGGCTTCACAGGTGGTTACTACACAGTTGTGATGTGGAGTTCCTTCCCCAGGTGAAGGAAATAGAAGTAGAGTAGCACAATTCAGCATGTTAGTTACCTTCCCAGAGGCAATTCCTTGCCCTTCTTGCATAAACAAGATAAATAGTTGAGCATAGTCAGGCAGACCCAGGGCAGGAGCACCGTACTTCAAAAGCTTTACATTCTTGACCTTGTCTGTTGTCCAGTGAATGGGTTCTCCAGCATCTTGAGCAGTAATCAGTATCAGGGGTTTTCCATTTCCTCAAAAGCAGCTATCCGGGGGTGGCAGAACCCTATGGCTCCTAAAAAGGCTTGTGTTTGGTTTTAGTAACTTGTCTTGTAAGATTTTTAATGGTTTTAATACAGTTTTCCAATAAGTGCTGCTTCTCCTGCTGGAGAACATGTAACCCACATATAGAAGAATGTAACTCAGGTATTCTACACTTCTCTCATAAAAATTATTACTCATATGGAGAGATCTGATGGCCCTTTTCATTAAAGGCAAACAGTAAGGAAGGGGTAGCAGCTATACAAGAACCCTTAGCTACTAATAAATCATCACCATATTGTATCAAAACCAGATTATTTTTTTTTATATATATAGCATTGTGCAAATCTTTTATGAAAACTTTATAAAATAGTGGAGGACTGAGTGAAGTCCTGAGGAAGCCTTGTCTGTGTTGGCTGTACCTTTCCCCAGATAAATGCAAGAAGGCATTGAGAATCTGGATGAATAGGTATATTGATTTAAGGCAGAAACAGTTGCCCTGTTTCCAGTTGTATCTGCCCACCTTTACAGAATCTCAGGACTTGTCACATGGAACGTGTAAGTAAACTGGACCCTCAGAGCAAAATGCAGGTCCAGACCCAGGCATGGAAATGTAGCAATCGGTGTGCAAGCTGCATGTGTCAGGTCCCTGTAGAGTCAGTGGAGAGACATTCAATAAATTTAAAGATTGAGGAGACTATACCAAAACCCAAGGGTTTTTTATCTGTGCCAGAATTTTAGGACAATTAAAACCCACATACAGCTGACAGAGTTATTAGTAATAATAATTAAAAAAAAAAATGTTGACAATGACAGGAGTTTATTCTCCATTTGTCATTGTTCTTATCACGTAATTTAATGCTATATAGCACCTCTTTTTCATGTAAAATGCTAAAATGATACCTAAGGCTTTTGCTTCTCTATGCTTTTGCTCTGCAAACAGTACATTTTCCAAGAGGATTCAGTTTCATGTTCTTCATATTGCAGCCTTTGTTTTCCGTAGTTATAGGAAAAGTCCTGTTTACTGTCACTTTCTGCACATTACAAGCTGGGGCAACGTGCGTTGAGATGATATGGATGCAATGTGTCTGAGAAGTATGGTAATGAAAGAGGCATTTAGCTGCTGTGAACTACTATGCGGTAGATAAGCTGCACTGCCATATAGTGATAGTCGCACAATGTGCAGAAACTAGTAAAAATACTTTCTTGGAGGCAAAACATTCTAATTACCGTCAGGTATTTGCACTTCAAAACTGGAGGTGATAATTTTTTCCTTTATGTGTATTTGGATTGTATTGTCTAAATTACCCAGAATATCCCTATTTATTGTAGTAGCATGACCTGCTTCTTACCAGAATTGCTCAAGGGAAAACTCTCAATCTGGTTGTTCTTTAAAACCAAGTTTTGGCAAAATACGTTCAAAATGTATTTTAAGTACACTTACAGTACTTTAAGTACGGCGACTTGAAGAAGGATTTTAGCTCTGAGAAAAATGTAGTAGTTTGTCAAATTATTTTTTTTAAATCAAGCACTCTATTCTTTCTGAATCTTTAGGACACAATTAGGATACACTTTTTTAAGCTTTTGTTTTATCTCAGTCATTAGTGTAACATCTTTGTGAAAGAGGAATGCTAGTCCCAAGAAAGCTCAGCCTGTTTCATGGAACAAAGGCAAGATTAACAATTCATTTGCCCCTATTTGAGAAAAGAAGTGGATGGCAGTTGAAGCTGCAAAATGAGCTCCAGCATTTAACTACCAGTAAAACACGTTCTCCATTTCTTTTCCTCTTTTTCAATGAGGATGAGTAACTTCCCTGAGAATGTGGTAGGATTTTCAGTAATTTTGTATAATCGAATGCAACAAGATTCCCCCTACAGCTTAGGACTCCTACCACTTGTTTAAACACGCCTGGTTTTGCTTATAGTCATAACAAACGTCCCTAGCAACACTGAGAAAGGCTTTATATAATCTGCACATCTTTCATTTCCTAGGATAGGCTGTGTGGTGTCGGTGTCACTAGTCCCTCTCTCATTTTAGGTTTTAAACCAGATTAAGTTTAAACTTCAACAGGCATAGTGAGAATAAAAGGCTCTATTCTTCCCCTCCAAATAGTGGTACTTACACCAGTTTTAGGAGATGCTGTTTTCTGCTTAATGGTTTTCAGGGAACCAGGAGCTCAGAAGCATGTCTGGGAAGCCCAGGCTTACCTACCTTAATGGAAGGGGGCGAATGGAGTCCATACGATGGCTGTTGGCAGCAGCAGGCGTGGAGGTTAGTTGACACTCTACAGTGTTCCAGACTGATGTTTTCAACCGGCTTCAGTAAGGAAAAATTTAACATGCGCATGGAGGGTAAATGGCTGCAAGAGGGTGGCTAAATGCATTTGGCCCATAGCACTGCATGTTTGTAACTAGCTTGTTTGGTGGTTAATGTTTGAGACGCAAACTCAGTGGATCTTGGAGTTCATTAACGCTAGTATCAGTCCCATGAAGTAATTGATTATAAGGGGTCAAAATGGAGATTTATTTAAAGGCCTTTATTTAGTTTTCACTTGCAATGTGCATATGAGAAGCATTTTGTTGACTTATGTGCCCTGGGATGGGATTAGAAATAGTTATTTACCTTGTGCTTTCCTTGGCATTGGCTGCAACTTGTCTTCCTCCTGTAGATGTCTGTACTCTGTTTCTACCCTTAGGTTATTTCTGCATCAGTGCACTGAGGCAGAAGTGGCCAGGCCCTTCTGCTCTTCCCCATCTGTGAGGATGCACTGGGAATCCTCAGGACATCTGTGGCCAAACAGCATAGTTGAAGATCCAACCCAGTATTTTTTGCTTGGTTCTGCCATTCTGTGCATGGTTATATGTGCACTTAAAGAAGAAAAATGTTCAGATACGGCAATGTAACACTATTCTCTCTCCCCCTTTCCAGTTCGAAGAAATTTTTCTGGAAACTAAAGAGCAGTATGAGAAGATAATCAAAGGTAAGAATCCCAATGCCTGAGGCTTAGTCCCTCAAAAAACCTGCTACAGTTTAGTTAAATTTGTGGTTTAAAATTAGTTTATTTAAACCAATGTGAACTTATAGGTGTACACCTAGAATACTGAAATGCTAGTTTTGAGTAACCTGTTCTTTTCAGTACCAAACAACTCCTATCATTAAAAGTTGTAGCTTCTGTGACAGTTTTTTGTAGTACATTAAACAGGGGTAGCAAACGTTCCTGTTTAGTGCAACTTATTTATCTGTGCTGTTGAACTGTTAGCATGGATCCTGGCACACTGTTGATCCAGGACAAATAGCAGTTCCTGAAGCAAATCCTAGGCATCATTTGGGAGTTGTCCCAGGCCAAAGGCCGTTTTCAAGATATCATTTAGATGTGACCACAATGCTTTATAGGCAGAGAGAGCTGAATAAAACAAATGCAGCCAGCCTGTGCCAGCTGGCCTTAACTGTTGTTGAGTTGACTAGTACAGATGTACCTGTACGTTGGTTCTGAACTTCAGTGAGATAAGCTTTTGAAAGAAAGGGAATAGGTTGCCCAAGGAAGTTGTGAATGCTCCAACCCTGGTGGTGTTCAAGGCCAGGTTGGACAGAGCCTTGGGCGACATAGTTTAGTGTGTGGTGTCCCTGCTCATGGCAGGGGGGTTGGAACTAGATGATCTTAAGGTCCTTTCCAACCCAAACCATTCTATGATTCTATGGCACCAAAATCCTCAGGAAAGCCAGTTTTCCTTTGTTATAGGCTTTGTGTGAAAACACTAGTGGCAGTTCAAATCACGATAAGCCTGAGCCATGAAGCTTCCACCAGTTAAAAAGCAGGAAGCCAGTGGGGAGACTTGTGGAAAGTCTGACATGACCAAATCAGCAAGTCACAAAGGCTTCAGGTCAACCATGGGAGTGAGGTTCCCAAAAAGAGAGCATATCCCCAGCTATTGCCCTTGATACTTGGCCAGGTGAAATCCAGCAGTGAAACAACCCTTTTGCAGCCACCCTGGAAGGAGAAGACCTTGCTGCCAGGATGGGGAAGGAATTAGGATTGTGAGGAGCGCTAGTGTACGTGGCCTGCAGTTTACCTGCTGCCCAAGACATGGAAGAGAAACCTCACAGCAAACTGAGCTTGCCAAGACATACGAGGAGACATGGAAGAGGATTGCACTGCTTGCTCAGCAAGGAAAGCCATGTTTAAAGAAATTCTGACAGGAAAACTAAAATGAACAAAAAATAAACAAAAGTGGTATCAAAAAGATCAGAATTTAATTTGTAGATCCAGCTGCCTGGGAATTTGGCAACATGAGATGGCAGTGCAGTATAAAGACACCAGTTACAGCTCTAAATATGATAGCTCATATTTAGAAGTATGATAGCTCATATTTATTCACTGAAAGCCCAAAGATGATTTTGCTTCACAGGACTAATTAATCCAGAATGGTACAATCCTGGATACAGCATCCAAGCTTATCCGTATCCAGAGGGAAAAATTAGATAGTGATGAAAAGGATAGGGAAGTTCTATAAAGAAGATCAAGGACTTCTGTATGTATATAGAGTTTAAGAGGGTGAGAACACAGAGAAAAAAGTGAGGGTTAATAGGATGGGTTGAAGACAAATTAGCTGTCCTGATAAAGGGACCTCTGGAATGCTGCTGATCATGCAAGGCAGGACAGAACGCAACCCCACAGTACTTTTCCCTATATATATATATATATTTTTTTTTCTATCCCTACCACCATGCTTTTTGCCAGGGTTATCCTCTGTTTAGACAACACCACACTGTTAGAACGGTCCGCATGTGACTTTGTACTATGCTGGCTGATGACCTTTTAAGCAATGCCCCAGGAGTGTCCAGGATGAAGCCTGGGCCAAGAACTGTCCCTAGCAGGCAGCTTGCAGACAGACAGCTGTTTTGGAGGCAGAGACAGTTAAATGGCATCAGCCTGGTCACGTTTGTACCTGCTGCTCTGAGCTAACTAGTTTGGCTCTATCTGTGCAGCCCCAGGTTGCCCAAGTTATTACTTGGATGTCAACAAGCTCTGCTGGTTGTTGACAAATAATTCTAGATGATTGTCTTTTCATGTATGCTCCACAGACCACTTTCCAATAGCACAATCCAGTCTGCAAAACAACTGTCAAACTGCTTTTAATCCTACATATCTATTCTATGAAGGGGTTATGTAAATTGGTTCTCACTGCAAAGTGGGAAGTGGTCCGCCACTGACTGTGAGAGAAATCCCTCTTTTCTGCAGATAAGAAACAAACCATGCATTCAGTTCGTTCACATTTGCTGCATCACTTTTTGTCAGGGGCCAGAAAGTCAGATTTTATTTTTCACTTTGTATCTTTCTGCTGAAAACTATCCTTGTGGAGCTGCCAGTTTTCACGTTCTGCTGTGTTTCTACTACATGGATACCAAGTAATATTTTCCCTTATGTTGTGGAGGTGTGATCTGGAAAGACACAATCTTTGTTTGAATGCTTACAAGAAACAAACAGGCTGCAGACAGAACTATTCTTTGAAGTTAAACTGCAAACTCATAATATGGAATGAGTTAATAATGTTTATTAATTCTAGACTAGTAAAGTGTTTTAATAGCTCTGCGGTGAAATAAAACAAACCTCTACCTGTTAAGATGAACCTTTGTACCTGAAAGAAGGGTGCGCTGGATAGATTGAGCAATTAAGATAAATTATTAACTTTGAGCAATGCAAGGTGGCAGCTGCCCAGCTAGATTTGGCATTTTGCTATGATTTTTAATAGGGCAGGCTTGCTCTTTGGATGCTCTTACTGTGTAAATGGTGGAGGGAGTGTCTCCAAAATCAGTGAATTAGTCCAGCAGAAAACTGGTCTAGAAAAGGCTGACTTTACTATACTGAATGTCAGCTTAGCTCTCAGAGCTGCCTCACTGAAGGCTGGGATAAATGCTCCTACCAGCACCAGGAGAAAATGGGACTAAAAGATATATCAAAATAGGCTTAAATTGTTGTGGAATGACACTGAGGATAGGCCTGTAACAAAAATCTAAGGGAACTCTTAAACTTTTATCCCTGGAGTGACTGTACTTAGAATCATAGAATGGTTTGTGTTGGAAAGGACCTTAAGATCATCTAGTTCCAACCCCCCTGCCATGAGCAGGGACACTACACACTAAACTATGTTGCCCAAGGCTCTGTCCAACCTGGCCTTGAACACCTCCAGGGTTGGAGCATTCACAACTTCCTTGGGCAACCCATTCCAGTGCCTCACCACCCTCACTGTGAGAAACTTCTTCCTTAGATCTAACCTAAAGTTCCCTTGTTTAAGTTTAAAGCCATTACCCCTTGTCCTACCACTAGAGTCCCCAATGAAGAGTCCAGCAACTGCTGTCACAGTCCTTGCCTCTCACTCTGTAACTTAAAGCAGCCTGAGCTCCTCCTTTATTCCAGTAGCTCAGTCTTGCTGTGGTGTACTACCCCATTCATTCTTTCTGCTCATGTGTATATGTCCCTGACAGGGAACTGATTTTCATTCAAAATAACTGGGGTTTTTTTTAAGTTTGATTTTTTTTTTTTTTTTTTTTTTTTTTTTTTTAATGCAGATCTTTATTCTCCTCCAATCCCTTGGCTTCAGAGCGTTGGCTCAGGCTTTTCTTACCAGCATGAGGCAGGGTCCTGAAATGCCAAGGAACAGGCAGTGCCAGCTCCCATCAGCCAGTGAAGCTCTGGCAATGCTGTAAAGCAAGGGGCCCAGCTGCACTAGGGTTGCCAAGCTACAGAAGCGTGATGCTTTCCCACAGTGTTAGTTTTCTGCATGGAGTTTTACAGTTAGGGCAAGACATCAGTGATCTACACTGCAAAACCAAATGTGCTTGGTCTGTCACTCTCCTGTAAAGCTAGCAGTCTAGGAGTAACTAACAAGCTTTCCTTCAACTCTCCACCCTAGATGGAATCCTGATGTTCCAGCAAGTGCCCCTGGTTGAGATCGATGGGATGAAGATGGTGCAGACCAGAGCTATCCTCAGCTATGTAGCAGGGAAATACAATCTCTATGGGAAAGACTTAAAGGAGAGAGCCCTGTACAGTAGCACCTCCTTTCACTTAATGAGCAATCTGTTATTTGATAACTGCATTATCTATAACAAATTCAAACCTGCAAATCCAGTAGAAAGGCCTGATAATGGCTACCACATTAAAAAGCAAGGACTCCAGCCTTTGCTTAGATTTTAACCACTGCTTCTGAAATGCTCCTGGACAGAAACAGGATTTTAGTTCTTTCTCTAAAAAGAAATATTTAGCTTTAGTTCATGTTTAGCTTTGGCTATGAAAATTGGCACTATGGTGGTGATATAAAATTTGTCTTGGTTAATTGGAATACAGATGAAATAACTTCTGTGCTCTTTTCTACTTTCTTTCCGCTCACCAATAGGATTGACATGTACGTGGAAGGAATAATAGATCTGATGCAAATGATTTTAATGTTTCCTTTCTCTCCACCTGAGGCAAAGGAGAAAAATCTTGACTCAATTAAGGAGAGGGCAACGAACAGGTACTTCCCAGTCTTTGAAAAGGTAAGTGAGAGTGAGGATCTGCCTATACAACTTGTATTTATAAATACAAGTTTTCCCAAAATAAGAACATGTTTGTAATGCAGGTCAGTTCCAAATCCTTGGCTTTCATGGCTCTCTCAAAGAAGGGGAAATACAGCAGCATGTTTTCTCTATTTGCTGGCTTGTGTTGTCAGGGCTGTGGTATTTGAACATCTACAGAGCAATATGTTGTCAGCTATAGAGCAAAAGTTTTCAGTAAAATAAAAGCAAGCACATATGACTTCTTTTTTCCTTGAAGGGATAGTTCCACACTTATATTTGTTTAAGTCTAGCAGAGAGATATGCTCTAATTTCAGTTGGAAGATTTTCATTAGAAGAATGCAAAAACCCCTTGTAAGTAGGTCAGGTAGAGAGGTTAGGAGTACTTCAGTAAAACAACAGTCATAGATTTTTGCACATTCCACTTTCAAAAACAACAAACCAACCCCATGTGACTTGGGCATCTGGCAATAGTTATCAGTTTTGTAGCATTCACTTACTTTTGATGAAAAACAATACTAAAGCCTAAACATCTTGAAAGTTCTCATGACTACAGTAACTTACTCCCAAAGGCAGGGATTTTCTTTGGTTAGCTATTGTAATCCTGCATTTCTAAGTTTGCTTCCTGGTATCAGCATTGGACATAACTTTAAAGAAATGTCTAACTGACAATTTTATGAGTTCTCCAAGTTACTCTTCCTCCATTATCCCTATTTCTAATTCTATGACTGTTACTAGTATACTTAAGCATGTGGTTTTGTCCCTGTTCTCTATTCCCCAGTTTCTGTTCCCCAGTGCCTATCATGATTTATCATTACCAATTAACCAAAGTTTGTAGTACTGTGTACTATAAGAGTTCAGATTTTTCCCAACAATAATGAAGTGATTTAGGCTTACAACTTCCAGCTGAGATCTCCACCCTGAAAATTGAGGTGTAATAGCTGTCCAGCAGTACAGCTGTGCTGGGAGGCTTAGCTGCCAGGCATCATATGTCCCATGCTCATCTGCAGCCCGCATTCTCTTGTATTCCACAGGTTTTGAAACAACATGGCCAAGACTTTCTGGTGGGCAACAAATTCAGCTGGGCAGATGTTCAGCTAATTGAAGCCATTTTAGCAGTGGAGGAGAAAGTACCTGCTGTGCTGTCAGGGTTTCCTCAGTTGCAGGTAATTTTGTTATTGAGCATGTGTGTATTCAGGAGATAGAGGGCAAGCCTGAAATTATCACCTTTCTATGCTTTGTAAATCAGACAAGTGTGGTCTCTTTGAGGAACTGTCACTGTCATATGTTTGCTTGACATTAAGAACAAGGATTTTGATATCCCAGTAACCTCACTTCACTTCTGCCTTCTACAGTATGACTAAAAATTCAAGCCTTAGCATTAAGCCACAGGGTTTTTGTTTGTTTTTCAATAATCAATACAACTGAGGATGAAGTTTCTGCCTTTGTGCTATATACAAGGTCTGAAGCCAAACAGAAATGAGGCACCTCTGCTGTGAGACTTGACCAGAAAGCAGAAGCCTCCAGGCATGCAGAATGCTATATAGCACAGTGCATGGGCAAGCCTGGGGCATGACCTGCGGGAGTCATTAAGAGTTTGAGCTACAGTGGACCTAAGTAGTCTGCGACTGGAGAAAAAGCAGGTAGTGTTCAGTAGTCCTCCCATGTGCCCGTAATCATGGCAATAAAGTACTGTAGGCAATACAAATTTGGGTTGAGGACACAAGGCTTGAGGTCATGCTGCTTTGGGCTTACAAACTGTTAGTTGAAGGCACTCAAAGACTTTGACTTTATTCCCATTAACAAAAGAAATAGCTCATCATGAGACTATCACAATCAGCTTTTCTACTTGGAACTGATTTTTCTTTCCCCAATTACTTTTTCAACAGCCTAAATTTAGTGTGACAAAATGAGGCACTTCAGCCACAAAGTAGGCACTAACGTGTGTCAGATTTTGTCCCTTATGCAGTTTTGCAGAATCAGGTAATTCTCACGTCTAGCTCCCATCTTCTAGCAAGGTATCTGGTATTTTAGCCTCTGGGCACGGGCACAGTTCTGTTGAAGCCATGCCTTGAATTATGGAGGGATTCCTTCACTGCCTCCTCCAGTAAAAATGGAATTAATTTAACATATATTGTGATTTTTCCCTGATGGTAGTTTGCAACATCAGAACCAGAAATGAGAAGAAAAAGGTTGTGAGTTGGTGTATTTGTGTCTTCAAAACTAGCATCCTGGTACTCCTGGATTTTTGCCTTTAGCTTCTTCCAGGCAGCAGAGATGTAGACACTGTCTGCTCCAGTACTGTCTTCATGGGTAAGAACAGGGTTTTTGCAGCAGCTGGGTCCTTCTGTGGACAGGAGACTGTAGATAGCAGATCTGAATGAATGTTAGGGTCTCTTCTGGCAGCAGGGGGAAGCACTTGTTCTGTGCAAGGAGCACTCTTTACTGCTGGAGTAACTGGAATTTTTCTCTTACTCTGGTGTTTGTTTTTGGTTTTGTTTGTTTGTTTGTTTGTTTTTTTGCTGTCTTTTTTTAGGCTTTTGTATGAGGAATGAGCAATATGCCTACAATTAAGAAGTTCCTGCAGCCTGGCAGCCCAAGGAAACCCCCACCAGACGAACATTATGTAGAAACTGTGTTGAAGATTTTTAGTAAATGAATGCCTTGTTACTTTCAGTGAGATGCAAAATATCGATGGGGAGGAGGAACCAAAGGGAGGCAGAAACTCAGTAAATTGGTATCATTGTAATTAAAACCAATGGTTAAAAATAAAAGCTGACTTACCATCTGTAGGGGCTGGAATTCCTTTGTGCTGCTCTTCGGGTACTTCAGGTGCTTCCTTGCTGACCTGCAATCCGTCTCCAGGCTCTGGGCATCTCTTGCTGGCACTGGCATCAAACTGTTAAGAGTGGGATGGATTGAGGTTCCTCTGCCCTGGCAACTTTAATTTAAAGTCCTCTTCACCAGCTTGGCAAGCCTTTGACTGAAAATGTTCTCCTTCTGTGACAGACGGATCTCATCAGCCCAGGTTTCCCAAAGTGAGTCCCACGGCCTAAATAGCCAACCCCCTGGCTTTGGCACCAGTCCTATAACTATTTATTGATTTACCAGATTTGAGTGGTCCTTTCAAAACCCTTTTACAGGGAGAACTGATGAGAAAACTACCTGTGCTCCAGAGTCCCTTACCACCAGTCCCAGCGCTCTGTAGTCCTTGATACAGCCAGGGCAGTCTGAGGAGTATCACTGGTGCCCATGGGAAACAACAGCAGCAGATAATAGTCACTGGACTGTATGAGGCTTGGTAGTCTCTTGGTGACTTTCCTGGTATGAGCCCCTGATAAGCAGCACACCTTTCTGGAGAGTATGTTGCCTAAATTTCTGCCTGAAAAAGTTGCCTAGTTTTCTCTACTGATCTCTGCAGTGGCAGCTGTTGTGGCTGGTATCAGCACCTTGCACCACAAGACTGCCAGTCCTATTTGGTGGTGGCTACCCAACCCTCTGGGAGTCACGGGAGGTCTTGGAAAGATCTCCTCTGCAGAATGTTCCTCACTTGGCTGGCGTGCCACCATGTGGGATCTGTGCTGGCCTGCCTCACCCTCAACAGGTGCTCTGAGCCATGATTCCTTTCCCAGGCCGCTCAGGTGCTCAGCTTTGTGTTACCAGCCTCCTTGCGTCACCCACCATGCTGGTGCTTTGTCCCCTCCTGGTTCCCTGCTAAGTGAAAGCAGCAGGCCTCCAGCAGTTGGTGGAAGAAGCTGCAGCAGATTTCTAGATTTTACAGGCAAAGTACCTTAACTGTGGCATTGCCAGTTAACAGCTGGCAATGACACAGGTGAACCCCCTATGTTACTGTGGTGCAATCCTGACACCTTGCATCACCAGGCGCTTCCGTGGTGTCCCAAGAAGAAAGCCACTGCATACCTGTCTGGGCAGAGATGCCATCTCCTTAGTAGCTGCTACCACAGCAATGTATGTCTACATGCAATCTATATGGCTCATGCCTCTCCATGCTGAGCAGCAGGATGGGCTTTGAATGTGAAAGTGGGATTACTGTGAAAGGGTTGGTACATCACTTGTTAACACACCTGTAACAGGTCAAAATGTAGTCAGTGTTACTATCTTTAAATTAAGGCCTGTGGATGAATTGGATTTTTAATCTCTCTCTGCAAAACTGATTACTTCATAAATCAATTATTTCAAACCATGTGCATGATCTTACCAGCATTTCACTTGCAGGTTACAAATATATTATCTCTTGAGAATGAAGCATCATGGAAGAAATGCACAATCTGTTCTGCAGGCTCAGGTGGTTTATTTCTACAGCTGTAGGACAGAACAACAAAGTTTCGGCTTCCACTGATTTTTTTTTTTTAAATGAAAATATTAGGGCTTATATATTTACAATGGACAATAACTGCCTTGTGACAGGGCCTGATGTGGCACAGCAGCGTTTGCATAGGAGGAAGCTTTGTTCTAGCAGATGTCAGTAACCAAATCTGACACTTAATATTGCCATAAGTGTAGAAAAAAGGAAATTTGGAAAAAATATTAAAAAAATTAATCTGGTAAGGACAAAACAGAAAAATGAACTTCCTTTTGAGACTGCTCTCTCTCCAGAACGCCTCCATGGCTCTCCCACACAGCAGACTACAAAAGAACATTTGTTTATTTGTTAGGATGTAACTAAATTGTGGGGTTTTTAACTGAATATGCTCTGCTTCTTGTCAGATGCAACCTATTTTACTATTATGTCCGATACAATTGTGTAGCTTTTTGGCTATGATCTTGCAAGCACTGAAACTTATCTTTGTTCATGTGAGGGCAGGTGTGTGCTTATACACGTAAGTCAAATAGTGAGTGCTAGCAAACTGTGTATGCAAGTGTACCTTTATGCTTTAAGCATGAGTAGAATTGAAGTAGAAAATATTTTTATGTGAGTTATTCACATGTGTGTATAAGGTGGGGCTTTCCTGTAAAATTTGATTACTTTTGTAACCAGGATTAAGAAAAAAAAAAGGTGTGTCCCTTGGTGTTGTCAAACTTTTAGGCAAGCTAAACAAGAGTAAATCTGAAAATAAGGGTGCTAGAAAAATGCTAACATACCCCATTTGCAGCTTAGCTGTTTAAGAGGTACAAAAATCTGTCTGAAAAAATTGCATTTCCCACTGGTATAGGACATACATTGGCCTAAACTGTAGAGGCAGAGAGCACATTCCAGGATCCATGGAGCTAAAGGGCTGGAGGTCACTGTTGGGAGAAGGCAGACAAATATAGAGTTCTGGTACCTGATGTCTAAGTCTTCCTTTCCATGCACACCTAGGGTTTCAAAACAGAAGTTGTATCTTCCACTGGTTTTCCACTCTTAAATTGCCAACAACTGCTGGAGGATAGAGTTAACTCCATCCACAACTGCTGGATGAAGTTAAGTGATGCCTGTCACTTAAGTCACTTAGCAGGGTTAAGTGGCTGGCATCTTTCGCTCTAGGATAGTGAGGACCTGCAGGTCAGATGTTGAAATGATCACTGCACCTTTACATTAAGCCATGAGTGACCTTAGAGTCAAGTCATGCTAGTTTGTATTGTGTTATTACTTGAGTGGGCTTGGAGGGATACTTGCAGAGGAAGTTAATCTCTTAACCCTGGTTTCAGAGAGGAGGAGTCTGAAATCCTTACTAGAAGTGATCTAAGAAATCCTTGAATTTATATTAGGATCCTTTCTGTGCTGGCTGATGGAAAGCTGAGAAAAAAAAGAGGAAAAATTAAAAAGAAAGGTTTTTTTTTTTTAGGTGTGAAATGCTCTGGAAGTCCTCATAATGCCTGCCTGTGAATGGCATGCTACTTTCTATTCTTGTACACTGACCGTCTTCGTCCGGAGAGAATTTCATCCAGGACAAAGAATGGTCCAGGAGCTGGAAACACAGAAGGGAAAACGAGGAATAATCACAGGTGAATGAGACAGCTTGAAATTTGCCAAGGGGATGCAAACTAAGATTAAAAACTAAGCAGGAGAGAGAGAGAAAGGAGGCTGACTAGAGAGAACTAGAAGGAAATCTGGAAGCTTAACATGCTGTTATGTGGAGAGTTAGTTCTAAAACCAACCGTGAACAGGTAACACCTCATTCACAGCCTTCTTTTTGTCTGCCTCATATTGACATGGCAGAAGCTGCTCATGTTAGCCAAAAAAGACGGTCACTAGTTTCCACTGAACATCACAACATTGTTCTGGCTTTGCTTAGGCAAGGTCTCGCATTTGTTATTCAAACCATCATGTAAGGACCTGCTGGCAAAAATACATCCTGTTTAAAAAAAACCAAAAAAAAAAACCAACAAAAAAAACCCCGTTCATGCTCAGTAGCACTGAGAACACCTGTCAGCTTCCCTGAGATCTGTTTGCTCTTCAAAATGTTGGGAAAACACCTAATGCCTTTCACATACCTGAAACCAGCATGAGGGTCACTGGAGTAAAGGAAGTTTCTTTTCAATTTCTCTATTCCCTTTGCAAGGCTATCTTTTGTAAATATATATCTAGGTCTATAAGATGATTACATTGAGCACTTGCTCTGCTGGGTTTGGAGGGCATAATTCAGTGTGGAGAAATGTTTCATGGGACACAATGTGTGTGCTGCACTTTACAAGTATGCTGAATACAGGCAGTGCCAGTTTGGAAAAACAACAACAAATGGGGCTTGTGTTTTAAATAATATGGAACACTGCGCTTTTATTTATGCAAGGCAGGATGGGGTATATCCCAACAGGTCTCATTAGCCGCAGATGAGGCTTCCTTCTCTACAGTCCCTATTCCCCCTGTTAATACAGTAAGGCATGACAGTTTATGTGTGCACGTAGCTCCCTTGCAAGTACATTTTAAATACTGGCTAATTTTGAACACGGTTCCAACCTAGATTAATGTAACTTTGATATGTTTTATATAAAGAGGAAAGTTCACAAAGCCTGACGACACAAAACATTTTCTAGTGCTTTGTCAAGAAACCAGTATCATGTCTGGAAAAAAAACCCCAAAACCCTAAAAATTGTACATTATTGTTTTAACGGAAGAGGCTAAATGGAAACAAGCTGGTAGGCAACAGCAGCAGCTGGGGTGAATATTCATTCCTAAGTTATGAGGGCAGCTTTGTCATTTCTTATAGTTTTAACTCCTGGATGGTCAATCTGAACCTAGATGTTCTTAGGAGACCAGATGCCTTCATCTAAACTTTCAACTGCCTCAGTTTAGATAGCATCCTTTTGAGTAGTTTTGACATCAACTGTAGTTCAAGTGCACGGTGAGGGATTTCTTCTGAATTTAAACCTGAGCTTAGAACTATTTAAAGGAGACTAGACAGCTAGACCGGACATAGTGTCTACGAAGTTAGGCGAGATGAGTTTTCCCAAGCACTCTACACTCTGATTAACTTTCATGCTTGAACTCATGTTTTCCTACCTTGCAGTCCTCTGCCACAGTGGATGTCAAGTCCTTTTCTTTCTGCAATTTTCTTTTTATCTGCATTATATGACTAAGCAGATTTGTGAAACACTACCAGACACTCCTTGGTGCACGTGCCTGTGCAAGGAAAGTTTCCATCTCCCATGTTATCTAGATTCCGGGTCATAAGTCATGTCCACCCAGCCATGCTGGAAATACCATTTCCAGCAGTGTAGTTTGATCTTTTACTCTTGAAAA